AAAGTCAAAACAACTAACTATTTTATAAAAATTAATATTGCTTTTATTTTATGATTTATTTTATTTTAGGATAAAATGAACTCTATCCTAACTGATATCACTATGTTTCCTAATCGTAGGCATTTTTAATAAGTTAGGCGTGATTAATAAAAAAATGTTATGCTGATGTTTTTTAAATAAAATATTGTAAATATTCTTGCCTATTATCATTATTTTTGTATTTAAACAGTCATCTAACAATGTTACAAAATCAGGTAAAAATTTTGAATGTGCATTTCCCGTTGTGTATGAGAAGGGAAATCCCGTCTCGATCTCGTCTCGAAATTTTATGAGAAATAAAAAATCTCGTCTCGTCTCGTCTCGGAACTAAAAATCCAATCTCGTCCATCCCTACATAAAAGCCATATGAGGTTCTACATTATTAGTAAAGAACACTTTACTAATACTGTAGAACCTCTCTAAACGGAAATAAAGGAGCGAGCTCGTTTCAGATGACCATATAAATTTCTGTCAAAAAGGAAGGCTTTTTCAGCATTTAAAGTGATAAGAAGAATAAGATAATAATAACGTAACTAGAGCACATGTTAACGTTACCTCTACAAAATTTGTGATTAAAACTAAGGCCTAATAAGCTTATATAAAAATATATTTGTAGATGTAGATTAACTATTTCTTTTTTCTTTTAATGGGCTATGTTTTCTAGAAATATTATGTTGCCATAGATTCATTAGAAACACATGAGCTGATGTCTGTTTACGTCTAAGTCACATTTTCAAAATCACAGTCAGATATTGTAAATCAAAGATTCAAAGTGAGTTGTATTTGTAGTTTGCATTGTGTGCAGTCACGAAGAAGAAAATTTTAATCCCGAACCATTGCCACCCTTCATCAGTCGTTCACTTCTCTTGCTCTTCCTTTGTCTGAGACATTATTTAAGTTTTTTTTTTTTTTTTTCTCGGCTGTTTTGGTTAGTCGTTACATTAAGGTTAACAGTGTTTTGGTTTGTGGAGGCTCAGTAAATGTGATTTATAACTTTCGCTACCGATTGCCACATATTTGCTACGCTGCTGTCATTGCCATGGCCTGAGGTATGCATTTTAATATTTCTCATAGACCGGGTGTCACTTGGTTAACAGTAAACGCAGACCACAGGGCAGTGATGCATCAAAGTAAAAAACAGTTTTGACAACTATCATATGATGTCACTAATCATCATATCCACAGATCAAGTGACACACATATGCGACAGACATTCCTGTAGACAACTGTGAAGATAATTCAGGGCCTTCAAATAGACTGTTACGAAGATTTAAGCTTTTTAATAACATTAGAACACCGACGCAAATATGCGATGGCAGTTTATGGTCGGAAACCGGCCGTCGCGTATGTGCATCACTGGTTCATATGAATGAAAAATTTAGTACTATTGCAGTAGCGAACGTGTAAAACTGATTTATTCACTCTCTAATAATTTTGTTTTATATTTTAGTTGTCATCTAAATCTTCAAAACACAGTCCTCACAAAGAGAAAGAAAAAGAAAGCAGCAAGAAAGAAACTATGATCCCAAGCTCAAACAAAGAAAAAGACAGAGAAAGAAGACCAGACAAAGAGAAAAAACCTGAAAAGTCATTGAAGCGGCCACCTTCTCCTTCTGTGGCTCCTCCTCCTGCCAAAACGCTCAAGGAGGAGCTGAAGAAGTCCAGCTTTGATGAGGCTAAAGAGAAGGAGAAAATGAAGTCATCGTCCAGTGATATCAGCAAGAGTGAGAAGAAAGAAAAGAAAAAGGATAAGAAGAGCCGAGACGAAAAAGATAAAAAAGACAGGCATAAAGATTCTGAAAGCAAAATCCCAACACCAGCACCGCCAGTTCCTCAACCTCCTGTTGAAAGAGAGAAAGAGAAAGTTGTTGAAAAGTTTGAGAAAATTAAACCTGACTTTAAAGAACTTAAGGAAAATATTAAGAAGTCACCCAAACACAGCAAGGAGGAAAAAGTCAAAGAAAAAATTGATAAAGAGAAGACTGAAACTGTTGAAAAACAGCGGCACAAGCATAAGAAAAAAGAGAAAAACAAAAAGGAAGACAAAGAGCTGAAAGAGAAAGAAAAATCTGCTAAGAAAGTAGAAAAGTTTCAACCTGCCGTTCCAGTTCCTAAGGATCCCTCTCCACCTCCTCAACCCCCTCCGGCCAAAGTAAGGCCGAGATCCCCTAGTCCTAAGATGAGCAAAAACTCAAATCCTCTGGGCACTCTCATGTCAGAACTCAACTCATCTGACAAAGGCTCAGACTCTGAATCTTCTGCTGACGAAGACACTGCAAGTGTTGACAAGATGAAAATGACACCTCCCTCCCCTCCTCCCCCTGCACCTACCCCTCCCATCTCCAGGACACCTGAGCGAGTCAAGGAAGACAAACCTCATAAAGACAAAATGAAGAAAAAGGATAAGAAGAGTTCGTCTAAAGACGAGGATGGGATCAAAAAGAAGAAGCGGAAGAGTAAGGAAAAAGAAGAAGTGGTTCCAGAGAAGATAGCCAAATTGAAACCAGAAGAGGAACACAAACCGGTGAGAGAGGAGACTGTAGAAGAGGATGTAGAGGACAGACTCTCGGAGTCACCTCCGCGAGAGGACCAGGAAGTGTCCAGGTCTAGGTCTCCTACTCCACCCACCAAGTTTACAGAAGAATATGTGATGGAACTGAAGGATCTCCAGCAGAAGATAATGACATTAGAGGACAATGCAGAACTGCAAAGGGTGGTCCAAGTGATTGCTGAAACGGGACAGTATGAAATTACCAAAAAGACTTTTGACTTTGATCTCTGTGCCCTGGACAAAAGTACAGTGAAAAGGTTACAGGACCTATTCTTTCCTGCCTCATGACCGTGAAAAAACCTACTACTGTTGTATCATAATTTGTTTTGTTTTTGTTTTGTCTTTATGTTATTTTTGTTGTAAATTTTTTTTATTCGTTAGACAATATTTCGATTGTTTTTATTATTTCTAGCGCAGGCATTTACATTTACGCGAACGTGTTTTATACATTATTGTGACGAGCCATATAAATTTTAAAGTACCCTATACATAATTTATAATAGGACTGTATGAAATGACTTTTGTATATGTTGATGCAATATTCTTCACAAATTTATTGTTTATGTAAATTTGTTAAATACATAATATATTGTGTGTGAGTGTTTATTTTATCAAAGATTTTAAAATAGGATTTAATTTTGTTAACATGATTTGTAACATATATTAATAAGTTTTATTATTTAAGAATAAATTGGCCTAAAGTATTTAAGTGTAAAGGCATATAAATTATTTGATATTGATTTAAAGGGTTGAATGAAAGCTTTAAATTGTGTTCAAACACTTTTGACATATTTATTATATGATCTTCATCTTCGAGACCATATTGTTTATGTTTTTTAATACAAAATAATTTATTTCTGGATTGTTATAATTTTGTCAAAATCAGTATTTATTCGAGTTGTCTTGCAATGTTGTCTGTAAATTGTATCCTAAAATGTTTAGTGTTCATATTTTTTGTAAAGATTTTCATGGAAAATGTTTAAACTAATGATTTTATATCATGTTTTGTAAACGTGGTTAGTGTTTGAGGTGATATTTTGTTCGTTTTTCTCAACAAAATTGTCTTATTAAACATGTCTTTTCACAAAAAACTGGTTTTATTTTTTCTGTTAAATCTTCTATCTAGTATCTATATTAGATACTAATCACACTAACCACTATGTGTACACATGTTTCACTTTTTTATATTAGTGCCCTTTAAAAACTAAAGTTTGTCTCAGATAATTTAGCGTTGTTTGTTTTTAGGAAATATGTTTATAAGTTCACGTTTACTTGGGTATTATTTCAAAATCATAAATAATTAATACTGTTGAGTTGGCCAATATTACTAGGCCTATATCATCAAGTATTATTTGTTCACGTCAATATTTTAATTGGTTTATTCCACCTAACTTTAATACAAGCAATAACAATGTTATTTTATTTTTGCAAATACTCCGTTTCACCAACTAAGTATTTCCAAAAAAACCTTAACTTTTTTAAAGGGGTTTGGTTGCTACATAGTAAATAAAAAATATCTTTAACTTGATGATGGTTGATAACTGATCAATGGGCAGTTAAGTTTGCACATCTAACTTATCTTTTAGAATCAATACTGTACTAGGTGTACAATGCAGTCGCCTGCTTGCAAAATTGAATGGAGTTAGCATATTCAAACAATACTTTTCCAAAGTCAATGCTACATCTGGTTACCTATGAGATGTCTCCTTAAAGTATCCAAAGTCAATGCTTCATGAGTTAAATGAGTTGCTTAGTCAATGGTACATCTGCTTTACATAAATGATAAATCTACTTGCAGCATCCATAGTTAATGGTATATTTGGTTCACATACTTATACAGAGAGCGGCAAAATGATCTGACTATTTTCTTTGCCGCCCTGTCGAGCAAGTGAGTGGTAAAGGGTGTGGAGAATAGGGGCGTTACAAAGCCTACTTGCGGACATGTTTAGTAGCCATGGAGCTGTGGACACCCGAGCAACATGCTTTCGTAGTGCAAGTGATTTTTTTTTTATATAAGTGGGCTAATCCTGTGTTCAGTGGCATTTCCGTAGACGTTTCAATGTGGGCCCAAGCGCCAAGCAAAAAAGTCTGAACTCTAAACACCATTTTTCTGTGGGTGGGTAACTTCAGAGCTACTAGTTCAGCATTGAAAAAAGTCAACAGGCCTTCCAAGGTCAGTCCGTATGCCAGAGAAGGTCGAGAGAGTGAGAGAAGCTGTGTGTGGAAGCTAGTCCTCAGCGGGCTGCTTGTAAAAAAGCTGCAGCTCTGCACATGTCTGGCCTTTCGGTATAAGAGTATTACGATACGACCTGCACTTTCGTTCATACAAAATGGCAATTGTGCAACAGTTGAAACCTAGTCGTGCGGATCTCATTTTCAGTGATTAGCTTACAGTGACAAAATTGTCATTATGAGCGAGGAATTGCACTTTCAACCACACCACACAGTCTTCCTCACTCTCTTGACGTTCTCTGGCATCTGGGCTTACCTTGGATGTCCTGTTGATTTTAGTTTCAATGCTGAACAAAAGATACCCACCCACAGCAAAATGGTGTTTCGAGTTTGGACTTTTCTTCTTTGACCCACATTGTAACGTCTACTGAATAGATACACATCAATTGCTACTTTTAAAAACCCTTCCACTTTATACATGGTGCTCAACAGACCACCAGCTACATGGCTACTAAAAATGTCTGCACGTTGGCTTTGTAACGCTCCTATTCCCACCACCCTCTACCACTCACATCCGTCGGCAAAGAAAACAGTCAGATCATTTTGCCGCTCCCTGTATTTGGTTGTCTACTGAAATGGTTCATCCGGTTCTCATAAATTAGTTTTCTACTTGCAGTATCCAAATATTCGCTCGCTCCGCTCAATTAGTGATCCTATAAAGTTAAACGTGAATTACCCATACAGTATTTGCCTTTGAAAACTAGTTTTAATCTTAAGAGTCCTTGCAGGCTTGCAGCCATCCCATCCTGGACAATTTCTAACAGCGGCTAAAGGGTTATTATTTATTTATCGCCCAAAAATATTTTTTAAAACATCAAAGATTATAATTTAAATATCTATTCAGGATACTAACTAGAGATTGGAAATGTTCTTTGTAGTTATGAATTGTTCTCCAAGGGAGTCCATGGAAGCTAATGGCCATCTTTGATTTGCCTTTCATAAGAGCAATGTTAATTTCAAATAGACGCTGAAGAGTATTTCCCATCTCAAAATATTTTCAAGCACCAGAGTGATTTTAATACAAACATCTTGTACTGTGGGATTAGTAATTGTCTTTGCAGTTATTTAATTGTTTTACGAGTTAAAGTCTAGGGTCCAAGGACTCTTAAATTCACACAGGGTGAACTGTGCACCATTGGTATATCAAAGACTAAAATTTTTAGAGAAAACATCAAAAGTAGAACTTGGGCCATTTGTTATAAAACCTTTCAGAATTCCACTTCTTCATAAATTTTTTATTGAATAACTTGTATTTTATGGTTGTTTTAGAATTAAAATGCAATTCAAACCATTTATACTTTAACCTTTTTAACTATTCATACTCATTTAGGAGTTACACACCTTGAAAAATATGGCTTGTTGTCTTGTCTATCCTGTAACAACTACGTTTGTAGAGGGGATGCAGATCTAAAAATTGCATCCACTTAACAAAAATAAAACTAAACCAATCTTCTTTACCGACCTAGTACAGTTTACTGCCACCAGAGTTGAGCACCATAGGGATCTGAGTACTGTAGTTCTCCACTAGATAGTGCGGCGTGTGTTCCACAACCGTTGTTCCCCTCCCTCCAGTTCCAGTCATCTCCCCCATCTTCGCTCCAGCTCCCATCTCCCATCGTCTGTCAGTTTCAGTTGCAGTTGCACGATTCTCACCTCACCTCATCAGCTGGCTCTGGTTCGTCCTCTCAGTTCATTTCTAGGTTAGGTTAAGTGTGTGACTATAGTTCACGTGGGTAAATAAATGCCCTCAGACATTCTATCGCTCTAGTCTTACTTCACTTGAAAACATCAGCGCTTTCAACCTGTCTTTGGAATCTCAAGGTAAGCGAGTAAATAATTAACAGTTCAGCGTTCTCCAAAGGTGATTGACATGTTCAGGCGCATTATCCTTTAATTGGAGCAATTAAATAATAGAGTTTGTTTTATCACTTTAGACTTGTTTGCCTAAGTGATATTTGTGTAGTCGCATTATCGTTACAGTAATAACTTATTCGTTAGTAAACTATTACTAAACTACAATATGACAAAAACTGGCAAATGTATGCTTGCAATAAGTTAGCTTGAATGTTATCATAATCTTTCATGCCCATTTCACTTGTAATGAAAGGCTTTATAACTAATTTATTTGACTTCTGTTTGTGTAGTGTTAAGATAAGATAATGTTTCTGTCGAGCGTACAATTAACTTTTGCGTAAAAAAAATTAAAAATGTATGATGATTGTAACAACAATAATAAAAAAATTAAATAGCAAATCCATTTAACTCCTTCCCAAGGGTTTCACCATTACTCAATCAATTAAGTTATTGTTTATTTTGCGCGTTTCGCGAATCGATTAGTACTTCCGTTTTAATATTTTTCAATCAAATGGCAACCATACTGCGATATTCAGCATACAAAATGTCAAAAATACAAACTTCCTTATAAAGTATAGGCCTACATTATTCTACTCTAAGCATTTTACAATCATAACATTTACTATTGAATAAGCGCACGACAAATCACAAAAACATCGTTAAAACAATTTTAAGAATCGACCCAAACCAGGAAAGTATTTCGAAGGCCCGTCCCTCGCATTAAATATCATACCAACATCTCATTTCAAACTGGTTATCTGCCGTAGATTTTGTTGATTTTTGTCTAAGTTCCATTTGATATGTTCAGACGATTGATTTAGAAAATAAGAACAATTTACAGTGTTTTGAGGTTTGTAGACTTTAATTGCTTCATAGTACTGTATATAGTTGTGCTCGTTTGACTTTGATTGAATCGGATCCGTCGTTCGTCCCTACTGTATTTTTTTTTATATAAACGGCGTTAGCAAACTGACACATATACTTTCTCACATTCACTTGATATTACATTTAACATCCTACTACTCACATGATAAAAAAGTCAAATAATTGTACTGGGTATATGAGAGGATAGCGATTTCAAATGTGTAAATCACGTAATTTGCAATGGGAATGTTGCTGGAAGTCAAACTTTTTAACCGTAACTGTAACCGTGTTTGGGGTTGTTTCGTTTTTCAATCAAAATTGCTGGTAAAATCTATTTTTTTAAATCTTATTTTCATTTTTTTGCTTTATGGCAAATCTACTTCAAAACAACACGCCTGGAGATACCATGAAGTACTAGTCCCCGCGCGTATAACAAATTTCATCGAAATCCGACTACAGATGTAGTCTAGTCTGTAGCTACAGGCCTACGTTTCTGTGCCTACACTTAACACAACACAGACACCAATTCAAAATCCACTTTTGGGGGTTAGGAGAGCCTGTAACGGATGTATCCATCCAAAACTCTAAGTGTTTTCTCTTTAAGCGAATTTCCCTAATTTTTGTTGATTGGAGGACGGCATTTTACCGTCCGAAATTTTGTCGAAAAGAATATTTTCTTCATAGGAAGAGAAAGTAAAAGTAAACATATCGTGTATCGGTATGCCTCATTCATTCATTCCCAAAGTAAATTCTACTCTGCACTCGCGAATGCAAACGATGCAAACTCATCATATAAATGGATTATTCATCACAAACACAGATTTGTTAATTCGGCCCAAATACTGCATTTGCCGAAGTTACTCCGAGTCAATATTGCTTCATATTACAGTATTAAGAATTTTAAATAATGTTCTTATTCAGGAGAAACTTATGTTTTCGTGTTATTGCTTTCAGAACGTAATTTACGTTCTGAAACTAACGTTTAAACAATAATAGACATACTAGAATAAAAATAACGAATACATTGTGAATTAGCATAGTGACGCTTTTTTGGATCAATGCTAAATTAATTGAGGGGTCCGTATTTTACTTTTAAGGAATCGTAATTTGTATCCTCTACTTCAAACCATATGTCATTGACGTCATAGTCTCATTCCATATCCGGGTTTCTTCAATTGTAGGAAGAAAGCAGACTTCAGACAGCTGTTTTTGTTACACCATCTCCAGACGTGCGTGTATGTACGTTTAATCGGCGTGGTGGTGAATTTCATGCAGAATCACTTGATAATCAATATAAATTAGGGATTCCTGTTCCAAAGGTTTATTAAAACATATACAGGGTGGCGCAGATGGATCGGGTGGTTTTAAAATACTTGTCAAACTGTCAATTTAAAAGGTATTGGATTGAAATAAAGTGCAAAACGTGTAGTTACAATGGAAGTTTATTGACAAAAAATTAGTTAAGTTAGTTTTCAAAAATTACATCCATCAAATGCCTTCCTTCTCGAGCGACGCATTCTTGGATTCGGTCCTTGAGGTTCCGCATTGCTCGCTCAAGCACATCACCAGGAATTGATGTGATTTCGTTGTGAATTGCAGCCTTCAACTCCTGAAGCAAGGGTCTACATGAACAAACCCCGGACCATTCAGGAGTTGAAGGCTGCAATTTACAACGAAATCACATCAATTCCTGGTGATGTGCTTGAGAGAGCAATGCGGAACCTCAAGGACCGACTCCAAGAATGCGTCGCTCGAGAAGGAAGGCATTGGATGGATGTAATTTTTAAAAACTAACTTAACAATTTTTTTGTCAATAAACTTCCATTGTAACTACACGCTTTGCACTTTATTTCAATCCAATACCTTTAAAATTGACAGTTTGACAAGTATTTTAAAACCACCTGATCCATCTGCGCCACCCTGTATTTATACAGTAAAACGTAATTTTATCTACACACTACACACAATAATGATGTATTTGGCCATGTAGACGTTTCATATCCAAACAAAGCTATAAGCCGAGTTTTTATTTCTGCTCAGCTGATGCCAAATATGACAATTTACGAAAAAAAACGTTGATCAGAATTGAACCAACTCTTTTCTCTATTCAATAAATGTCTGAGAATATTCTTGGCTATTAAAATCTGGCCTAACTCATTCGCGAATTTTTTTTTTTTTTGAAAATGCAATTTTGTATAGAGACATTTGTCGCATTTAAGTTTTACTTTAACGTAACTAATCTTTCAAAAGCTATTTAGGTGTTAAAAGAACTGTAGACTAAATGTTAACGTCATAACACTACAAAACCACTACCGTACGTTTACATATTTGTTTATGTTTCGCGTTTTCTTATTATATTCTGTCAAACAACTGATTGAAATAAATCTATAAGAGTTTTATAAATATGTGACAGCACTATAGTCTACTGTCAAATGTACACCCGTGTGCTCCTTGATGAGGCAGGTGTGGGAATAGTCTTAATCTCTTCGTTTGACCTTGGAGAAATACAATTTCGATGGTGGCACTCTTGAAAATTGTGCGTTTGAACGCTGTGGGTAAAAAACAAAATGGCCGCCATTTAAAATGTTTAAAGTCAAATTCCATGAAAACCAGCTATTAAAATAAAGTTTTGCAACACATTATTTAAAGTCATTTTTATTCCAAATCGAATGACACTTTATTTGCGAAAATCGGATAATAAATAAAAAAGTTATGTAACTTTTGTTATTAATGCTAATTATCAAAATGGCAGTCATTTTAACACCACAAAGTTAAATTCCATAGAAACTAGTGACAAAAACATTATAAAAGTTACATAACTTTTTTATTTATTATCCGATTTTCACTAATAAAGTATCGTTCGATTTTTAATAAAAAGGACTTTACATATTGTGTTTCAAAGTTTGGTTTTTAACCGACTTCCCCACTACCAACAAAAGGAGGAGGTTCTCAATTTGTTTGTGGCGATGTTTTTTTTTTTCTATGTATGTTCACCAAATTCTCTGTGATTCTTTTACCGATCAGTGTGGTTCCACCACCAAAATAACCAGGAGAGTTTCTATTTGGTACCTTATATATTATGTTTAAGTATAATATTTGTTTCGGTGAAAAATTCTGAAAACCTTAAATATTCAACATTTATTTTGTTTACATTTGTGCAGATTGTTTACATTTGTGCAGAGAAGGCAATAAATCATAATAACATTCATACAGCTGTTAGTTGAAACCATTTAAATGAAGCTACAGACAATTTTTCATGAAACAGTTGCTTCATATTGATCAATAAACTATTTCTTGCCATGGAGCCTAAATGAATTACATTGAGAAAAATGCATTTTGTTTTGGTTACTATAAAAAATGTATTTTAACGTTTTACCTGATTTGTGTATACAGTAATTCTGTTTTTAGTATTGAATATTCTGACTTACAAAGACATATATGTTTCAGTGAATAGCTGTATGATATTGTTGACAAATAAAGGTGTATTGTGAAAACCAAAGCATTCGTAAAACAGGTCTAAATATAAATCAAATGCAATTATTCCTTACACGACCTAAGAAGTGTGACATTGCATAATCGTCAATTGTCTTAAAAGTGTTAAATATTTTAATTACTAAACATGCATTTGCAGATGTGGAATGTTTATTGATATTCTCTACCCAGTTACTATATCATATCAATACTATTATGCCTGCTTCGGAAAGTCCTAGAGGAAGATGATTTGCAATTTCGACTAGGCTATATCTTGATCAAAGAAAACCACCTACATGGCTTGCACCACTTTTAGCTGAACCAATCTTTCATATACATATTTCATTTGCAGATGTGGAATGTTTATTAATATTCTCTACCCAGTTACTATAACATATCAATACTATTATGCCTGCTTCGGAAAGTCCTAGAGGAAGATGATTTGCAATTTCGACTAGGCTATATCTTGAGCAAACAAAACCCCCTACATGACTTACACCACTTTTAGTTGAACCAATCTTTCATATAATATTTTCCAAAGGTACTATACGAAAGGTACTATAGTGTTAACGACCAATTTTCCACTTTTGAGAGATTTTTTAGTGCTGGTAGCTGAGGAATAACTTTCATAT